TGCACACCAAATAGTGGCACATTTCATACCCTTGTGCCACATTTTTTGGAGGCTGGAGAGCTTGATCGTGCTCTAAGTTGCTGCCATGAGATCTTTAGTAGGAAGTGCAGAGTGCAGTGCTCGTTGCTGCAGGGGGTAGTGACTGCATTGATTGCTGATCAAGGATGGAGGAGGCTAGGAGGATCGTTCATCTTGGAAGGACGAACTACTATTCTCGAAAACGTTTGAGGATGCCACCACATACTAGAGAAGACGAGGGTTTGAAGATGCCACAACCTGCTGGAGAAGACAATGATGTAGAAGGTGAAACTGATTCAGATGATTCTGTATCATATGAAGATGGGTACGAGGGAGAAGAGGAGTCGAAAAATGCTCAGTAAGGATATACCTTTGTAATTTAAGCATTGATGTGTCATGGCGATGCAAACTGAATTTGCTCTACTTTCTGGCCTGATACAGGAGAATTGCCTGTACAATTGCAATTCTCTAGTACTTTAGTAAGATAATGGTTTATTTTGCTTCTCTACTGTAGGTTGATTAGTAAAAACTCGTCTGCTCATTATACATGATATTAGAATCAAACCCCTATTCTTCCCTAGAATGGCTTGCTTTGGCTATTTTCTCACATGTCTTCGATATTGTTAATTACGTTTGTTTTAATGCCTTTTTCCTCTGTATTTATTCATAAATGATGTGTGAGCTTTATAATTGTTTTCATGTACTGGTGTTTGATCATGCCACTGTTTGCTTTGGCAAGCAAATAAACACAGCTCCTGAATCATTGGCCTGGTTGACTTCATGTTTGGAATATGATAATTTCATATCTCATGGGACTTGGGCTTGATGTCACTAGATCGAATTCCATTCTCCCTAGATATTTATATTTGCATAGCAGAACTCTTTTCACTTTATAGTCATTGTTGTTTATTGCTTTTTCTATCTTTGAACAGATCCTCTCTTTTTTTTTTCTTCTTGAACACATCTTACTTGTCAAATAACTTACTATTAGAAGTGCATTAACAAAAAATGCAGGTTGTTTCATACCAATTTGTCACACATTGGATTGCTGATTTTCAAGTACATGGTAGTGGTTCCTTTGGTGAAATGGGTCTTGTTTTGATTTAGAATACATGTACTTAGAATTTAGCACTAGCAGGTTGACTGCAATTTGCTATGGCTGGTTAAATATTGAGACGGTCTTTGGGTTTGTTTCCACATCTAAGTTAATGGAATTAAGCGCCCTGTTCGTTTGGGCTTTGTTTGGCTGATAAGCCATGGCTGAAAGTACTGTTGGCTGATTTGGTGTGAGAGAAAAATATTGTTCGTTGGCTGAAAAAGGACGGCTTATAAGCCAAACAAGCCCAAACGAACAGGGTGAAGAATGAAGGCAAACGAGCTATTTGATCTGATAAATATTGAGATGGTCTTTGGGTTTGTTTTCTTGCACAGCTTTCAAAGTTTTTTTCCTTTGTTAGATGCCTTTACAGTTTTCTGCCAAGTCTTGTGTTTATCGCAATAGGGGGAAAAACTTGGATCTAGCTTATCTTCCAAAAATGAAGAAAACTTAGAAGTTACTCCTTCCACTCCAAATGTAAGATGTTTTCCATCCAAAGTCAAATTTCCCTAAGTTTGACTCAGGCTGTTGGACACTTGTTCAGCGCTGCCAGTAGTGGAGATATAATAATTGTGTCGCTTGCTCCAGAGTACTGTTGCTAATCAACGCGGGTAGTGTTTGTCATCTACCCATTTGGCACTACAAACCCCATTACTTTGTTTAGGAAGCCTTGCTGTTGCATATGCAAGAATGCTTATCTAGCTGCTTTTATCGCGTATTTAATGGCATAGATTTGTGTAGTCTTATGTTTATGCATAGATTGAGTAGAGAACTTAACTACAGATCCGGTCACTTCAGTTTCTAAAGTTGCTACGATTATGGATATGGATGGGCTAGAAGAGGCACAGAAAAAAAATGAAAGTGTCTGCTTGGATACAGGGCTTGTATCTAAAACGGATACAGGGAACTTGTATCTAAAACAGTAAGGATTCAGTTCAAAGTTCTGGAGAATTTGTAAGGATTCAATGGTTGTGCCATGGACTCAGTCGTCGGCGTTGAGCGTAAGCTCTGCTCTGAACCTGGAACGCACTGGATGTCTGAATAGTTCATACTCTGTTTCCAGAATATAAGGTATCTTAGAAATTTTAGGACACACGTATCACTATAATTGTATTATTAATAGAAATTAATAGTAGATGTGCATATGAATGATGCCATTTTAAACAGAGTTGTCGTAGAATCTTTTATAATTTGTTAAGACGAATTTTAAAACGTTTGGATACTTCCTATTTTAGGACCGAGGGAGGTAGTATAGAATCATAGCTGAGCACCAAGCATCATGAGGGCCACAACACGCAACAACTGAACATAGGAGTAGTACGAGCTTAGCATTTGGTCAGTTAATTGGTCTGGTCTCTCGTTGGCCTTGGCAGAAGCGTGCGTAATCAGCCAAATCTTCAGCAGTCCACAAGCAGATGGCTATGCTAAAATACCAGCTGGAGCAAGAATATAGTAGCAGAACAGAAGACTCCAGACTTACAAAATTGTTGTCAAATGTTGTAGGTTTGGCAGGTGGAGACTTTGGGGGCATCCGTAATCGGCATATCGCGATTAGCGAGCGCGCTGCGCGGAGGAACGTGGAAACTGGATTTGCACACGGAATTGTAGGCGCCGTGCGTACCGTATTGTACGTGCGGTCAAATGCGTGCGAGTGCGGGGTTGCTGGTCAATGGAACACAGATTAATGCTGCCTGTGCTGTGCAGCTGGTGCCTGTCCAGAACCCTTGATACAAAATGCAAACATTAACCCTGGCGCTTAGCACTATGAGGTGCGTTAATACGGCCTCTGGTCAGACAGATTCATCGTTTGATGAGTCGGTAATAAGCCCCATACCGCTGGTAGTTTTTTAAAAAAAAAAAAACTGATCCACCATAAAAATACCTATATGCTTTCTATAAAATTCCTACTACATCCGTAGCGGGTGCTTGGTTTGTCCTTTTAAATTTTAGTCGCTGTCCCATCGGATGTTTAGACAAATGCATAGAGTGTTAAATATAGACTAATTATAAAACTAATTGCACAGATTGTGACTAATTTATGAGACGAATCTTTTAAGCCTAATTAGTCCATGATTTGACAACGTAGTGCTACAGTAAACATATGCTAATGACGGATTAATTAGGCTTAATAAATTAATCTCGTGAAGTACCGACGGATTCTGTAATTTATTTTTTATTAGTATCCGAACACCCCATGCGACACCCTCACGTGACACCTCCTAAATTTTAGTCATCGGATCTAAACACCCCCTTAGAAAGGATATAATACTATTTTTGGTTTAAGTCCAACTATTTTAAACTTCACTAAAATTAAAAAAGAATGGTATCTAAATTTATGACTCTGACTAAATGTATTTCGTGTTAAATTTAATAATACTTATTTAGTATGATATAAATATTAGTATCTTTCTATATGAATTTGGTTAAATTTCAAGTAGTTTGACCTAGTACTATTGTGTGTCATTGCAAAAAAAAAGCCTCAGGGTTCAAATTTTGAACGGAACCAAACAATATAATCCGACATGGGTGCGTGCGAGGCAACATACTTTTGGTTTGATGAATTTCGAACCGAAACCAAACAATATATGGGCCCCACGACTACTCTATTTTGCTAGTATAATTTTGATTGAAGAGAGAAATTGATTTATCATTATGAACTGTGAAGCCGCATCCACACCAATATTTTGATTTCTGAGCGGAATGACGAATCGAACCATTGATGAATGACGCTGCAGCTGCAGGGCGCAGGGCGCAGGGCGCGGGCGCAGGCGCAGGCCGTAGGAAAACGCAACGCGGGTCAAGCTGGCATGGCGTCGGCGTCGCCCCGATCCGCCACTGTTGTCGCAGACGCCGAGACAAAAGGCGCATTGAATGTCCGGTTCAGGCGGCTGGTAGCCATCGATGTGACAACGACATGGCGTCGCTGCCTGGTGGGCGCAGCGCAGGGAGGACCAGCACTAGCTTGCGTCTTGCGTCTGCCACGACAAACAGGCCTTTGCTGCTTCAGGGGGTTTAACACAAGGCTGTAACAAAATGCGGACAAAAATTGAAAAAGAGACGGACGATGGGGCTACACGCAGCAAGTCAGTATTCAATAGACCCGTGGTTGCCTGATCGGTAAGGCTGTATTTAGCTGGCGAAATGAAAATTTTTGATGTCACATTAGATGTTTTGGGATGTCGAAAAGGGTTTTCAGATACTAATAAAAAAACTAATTACATAGCTCGTCTGAAAACTGCGAGACGAATTTATTAAGCATAATTAATCCATCATTAGCGCATGCTAGTTACTGTAGCACTAATGGCTAATCATGGACTAATTAGTCTTAAAACATTCGTCTCGTGATTTCCAACCAAACTGTGCAATTAGTTTTTTTCGTCTATATTTAATACTACATACATGTGCCGCAAGATTCAATGTGATAGTTTGGGGTGAAAACTTTTAGGAACTAAACCAGGCCTAACTTCGTGGTATAGGGCCTGTTCGCTTGAAGAAATTTGAAGAAATATTGTAAACAGTGTTTTCAGCCGTAAACCGTGCAAATCCAGCTGAATTTATGACCAGCCGAACGCAGCCATAGAGTTTAAACACCAAACTGTAACCTAGTCTGTTCATGAGAAACGACTCCACATAGTGAAGAGCTACTCTTTGTGCTACCCAAATCGACACATCTCTCCTTCAGGTAGGCAAAGCATGACTGTTGACTGGTTCGATGTTGTCTGCTCAGCAGCTGGTGGGAAGCCGACGGTGAACCAGACACCCAAGCAAGCCACGAGCACATGAAGGCACGCACGCACGTGCACAGAAACATGCACAGATACATCCGCCCCAGCCGATGGCTATGCTGTGTTACACTAGTAGTAGCTCAGACAGACAAAGTAGTTGGCTACGGTTTGCAGATGACCACGAAGCACGGGAGCAGCGCCCTCGGGTTCAGCAGGTACAGCTCCTCGATGTTGGAGTAGGGGCCGACCTTGCCGGCGAGAGAGTCGAAGCCCGTCTGCCCCACGAACTCCTTGATGTTGTCCAGCGGCTTGTGCACGCGGCCGGCGATGACCCTGCACACCAGCAGCGCCCTGCGCGTGGTGGTGCCCAGCTGCTGGTCAGCTCCGTCGTCGCCGGCCTCGATGGACTCGAACGCGCGGCCGCTGGTGGACGTGGTGAACACGCCCACGCCGGCCTTGCCCTCCTTCTTGGCGGAGAAGCCGTGCCGGATGATGCGGCACACGGCGCACTTGTCGGAGGCGCAGAGGCTGGAGGAGCCGGAGCCGCCGCCGCCGCCGCCGCCGAGCGCGCACGAGAGCGTGGCGCCGTGGAAGCGCAGCAGCTCGTTGCCGTCGGCGAGGCAGCGAGGGTGCTTCTTGGGCAGCTTGCTCGCCTTGAGCTTCACGGCCTCGCGGTACTCCTCGAAGCGGGCCAGCGTCCGCTGCGTGTTGTGCACCTTGAACACCCGCTCGATCCGAACGCAGCTGCTCTCCGACTTGAGCAGGCTCGTCCGGCAGATGATCTCCACGATCTTCCGCGACGAGTCCCCTTCCACCAGTTCCGTCACTGCACGCATATATACAAGGAAGTGGCTGGCTCAGCTACTAGCTTCATGCCGATCAAGCATCCAACTGCTTGCTAGTTGCTACTCTCAGATCAATCTTCCTGGTTCTCTCAAGTTGCATTGCGTGAGCAGAAAAAAAAATTGTTCTGAAAAATCTAAGCTTCTGCTTTGCAATCAAGAATCATGCGAATGGCTTCCTGTAAATCAAATTAGCACGTAGTACATCTTAATGGAGAAAAAGCATGGAGTTATTAAGCCGCATGCAATTGCTACAACCTACGGAACGCAGAATCCACCAGAATCTGATGCTACAGGCTCGCAGTTATTGAAAAAGTTGTGAGCGTGGATTCGGAAAAAAGCAGGTGTTTGGATGAACATGGCCGTGAAGCCTGCCGGGCTCTGTACCAGGTAGTTGCAAACTTTTTGCGCTGATAAAGATGCGGCCGGCACTAACTAAAGTGCCACCGCCCACCGTCCACCGCCCGGGCGGCGTCAAGATCCACGGGGGAGGAGGAAGGAGGACTGTGTCTGTATGTCTGTAGGACGTATGTACCACCAGGAAAAGGTCACTGATCTGTACGGTGGGAGATGCAAGCAACGCGGCGGATGCAAGCAGTTAGAGATGTGAGCAGCAGCAGCCTCCTCACCTGCATGCTTGGAGAGGTGGTGCGCCTCCAGCGCCTCCCACTTGCTGAACTGCTCGCCGCACCTGTGGCAGCTGAGCCCACCGGAGGAGCCCTTGCCGGCGCCGTGCTTGGCGCCGGTTTCGTCGCAGGACGCGCGGTGCCCGTTCCCGTTCGCCACGGGGCCGTTCCTCTCGAGCAGCACGTTCGGGGACCTCGGCGGCGTGCAGCGCGCGCCGCCGCCGCCCCGCACGGAGCCGCTGTACGGCAGGCCGTGTCCTCCGGCTCCGGCCCACGCGGGGCCCGGCGTGCCGGGACGGAGCGTGCCGACGAACGACGACACGACGCCGCCGCCACCGTCGGCCTCGTGCGCGGCGCCGCTGCCGGTCCCGGCCCCCACCCCGACGGCCGCCAGCCCGCCGCGCCGCAGCCGGTGATCTTGAGCTCGCAGCGGGAGTTGGTGCTGAGCACGACCTCGTGCGCGATGGGGTTGAGGAACTCGCTGCTGCCGATCGACCGCGGGCTGCAGCTGCTGGGCGGCTGCCCCGGGTGGCGCTTGCTCCCGTGGATCACGTCCCGCAGGTTGGCGATGGAGCGCGAGCAACCCGACCGCGTGGTGGCGCGCTTGGTGACGATCGACGACAGGTGGCCGCCTCCGCCCCCGCCCGCGACGGGTCCGGCCTTGGCACGCGGCACGTGAACCTCCGACGGCTCGGAGCGGCAGTGCAGCGACCGCTTGAGCGCGAACCACACCGTCGGCGGTGGCGCCTTCCCCGGCGCCGCCGTGGCCTTGCCCTCCTCGGCCCGCGCAGGCGCAATACTACCACCGCCGCCACCGCCACCGCCACCGCCACCGCCACCCCCGAGGGAAGCAGCGGTCGCGCGCCTCCTCCGCTCGCCCATCGCGTCCCGGGCCGTGGCGCGTGAGCTGCTTGACTTGGTCGCTCGGCCGGGCGGCCGGTCAGTGCGGCTGGCGGGCGCGGCAGAGCGGCATCCGAAGGAAGCGAGAGCGAGGGAAGCGGACCGGCAATTAAAACCTCTCTGGGAAAGTGTTGGGCTGGGCGGGCGGGGCGGCAGTAAAGGCGCACCACCAAACCAAACCAAAACCAACTGCTCGCCTCGGGGCTCTGCCGTCTGCCCAGCTCTATGCTGCTGTTTGCCTGGCGTGTTGGCGTGTTGCCCGCCGAGCCTGACGACCTCATTGAGACGAGAGCAGTGGGTGTGTTGCGCGCCGCGCGACCTGTGACTCGGCGGGGCTCACGCTCACCAGCTCGACAGCGAGGTTAGTTCTCGCTTCTCCGGCGTCTGGCCTGGCCAACCATACAAAAACGAAACGAGAGGCGCGAGGGACGCCAGAACGGGGACCATGGCCGACACGTAACAACAAATCTTCAACTGTAACGAGGCGGAGGGAGGCGGGCGGGCGGGAGGGAGGGAGCGGGACCGCAGCGGCCGCGATGGGGCCGGCTGAGGCGCTCGAAGGCATGGGACCCCGCGGCGGCGGGGCGGCCGTGATTGCGAGGAATGGCGACCGAACGAGATCGCTCAGACCGTGAACTGTACGTGCCGGGCACGGACGCCTGCCTGCGTGTGCGTGCGCCGTAGCCAAGTCCAGGACTACTTGTTCCCATGGTGGTCACCGCTTCGCCTTAGGATAGCCGAGTTTCCATGCTGTTTGATTGATGGGCAAAATCCGCGGATGACGCTGACGATTTTAATTATTTTGTCTGTAATAGATCCTGGTGCTCCTATGAGCTAGTAGTGCATTGATCAATTGCTTGCGTTACTACTGGTATTTTGCAATGATTACTGTAAGCCCTTGTTTAGTTCGCGAAATTTAGATTTTGAGGCTACTGTAGCATCTTCGTTTTTATTTGACAAATAGTGTTCAAACATGGACTAATTAGGCTCAAAACGTTCGTTTCGCAATTTCTCACCAAACTGTGCAATTAGTTTTTCTTTTCGTCTATATTTAATGCTTCATACACAGACCGTAAACATTCGATGTGACAGGTACTGTAACAATTTTTTTTTAAAATTAGGGTGGAACTAAACAAAAGGTGAGTAGGGATGAGAGGATATAAAAAAGAGCAGAACGAGGGATGCTGCAGTTTCGTTCGTGCCAGTGCCAGCTGTTTTGTCTTAACTCACCGTCCAATCTCGTACGGCGAGAAACCCGCACCCACATGCTGATACGAGCAGCACAACGGGCCGAATTTTTTATTTTTTTTATCTTTTTTTCAAAGTTTTTCGTAAATAAGAATCCGGAGAAAAGATTTCAGAATCTAAATTCTTAACTCGGCGTATCGATACTGACATCGAGCTAACACGTTTCGGCGCTAGCGTCTCTGGCGTCGAGTTTTTGGTCTCGAGACTCATGTGGAGGTGACATGGTAGGGGGCGTCGAGCTCGGCGACGTAGATCTTGGCATCGAGCTCGGCGTCAGGATGAATGACGCCGAGCTTGTGTTTTAACCCTGGCCCCAACCTTCCTACCTGAGTCTTCTTCCTCTTCTTTCTCCTCTCTTTCGGGTTTTTTCTCTTCCCACTTCGCCATACCTCACGAATCGACATATTGGACCTTGAAAACTTTGATTTGATCCGTAGATCTTCGAGAGCAAGGTATCTTCGTTCCCCTCCTAGTTTTTTTCGCATCAATTTGATATATATTAGTCGGATTTTTCAACCTAAGAATCGTCAATACTTAGGGTTTCATTCTATCCCTCAATATTTATATTATACAACCGTAGGATGATGCAAAGGCGTGGAAAAGCTAGCAAACCTAGGCGCATGTAGTTATGTTATGCGTTCATTATTGTACATCAAATGGAAAACCTCTAGGTTTAGGGTTTAATGTTAATTGCTTTCAGTTCTTAGAACGAAATTAGTTGTATTGTAGTTATGGTTCTCATTGACATTTATTTGTGATGTTTTGATTTATGTTTGTTAAATTACATCCGTTTTGTTAGATGCAAGAAATATTTCGGGAGAAGTTTTGGCGAAAACGAGGTCGTCCTCGAGAATTATACCCTGACGCTTCTAGCAAAGATGTTCCCGTCCCTCCTGACCTCACTGTCCCTAACTATGACTGTGGTTTCGCGGCCCATGTTTTTCAATCTAAACATTCAAACACAGCGTCGTGGTTCTTCTACACATGCAGTCATTTTAATGTAAGAAATTGTTTCCACTATCTTTTTCCTTTATTTGTGTAAGTATGCTACTAATATTTTATTGGAATCTCATTGTGTAGGACCATGAGAGGTGCTTTTTCTTTTAGTGGATCGACGATGCAGACAAGTTTGATCCTAGGTACCTCCTTTTCGACGATTGGTTTAGAGGGAGACATCCACGTGAGCACTTCAAGCGATGGGTTCCACCCCCCTAACCCTCCGTCAATGATGGCTAAGGAGAAGCACCTAGCCGCAGTTAGACGACTCGAGGAACTTCCTCTGTACGATTGCGGAGATCGAGCTGTGATAAATCCTGAGAATACGTTGGAGTTTATGTGTCCAAACAAGCATGAAGTGAGTGCAAAGTGTATGTGTTGAAATCTTAAGATATATGTGTTCATGTACTAATGTCACCTTATTTATGTGTTTGCAATGGCAAAGTGTCGTTTCAAGGAGTGGTTGTATGGTCCTAAGAACCAATGGCCGGAAGAACCGCGAAAGGTTAAGTAAAATAAGAAAGAAAGGGTAATTTACAAAGCACCTCCTGTCATGTGCGAATATGATGTTAAATCCAATTGTGGCCTATTCCCTTCGGATCTTGGAATAGGCCATTATTGCGGTCATATGGTTGAGTATGATGAGGTTGGTTATTTTTGTGGTAAACATAAAATCGTATTTTGTTTCTTTTGCTAAGATATATATGATATAATATTTCTTTTGAACAGAGCACTAGGAAATGCAGGTGGGAATGTTATGATGATCAAGCTAAGTTTTTGGATGAACTGAAGGGGAGACATGTAATTGTACGGAAGAGGGGATATGGACCTGACTACGTCAACCTATTCGTTAAACATCACAAAGAAAAGATGCGTAAGTTTGCTAGACAGCGCGGTATTTGTAACCCGATCGATGTTGGGCTTAACAAATGGGGATTAGAGAGACGGATGACGTTAGAGGAGGAGAGGGCAAGGAAGAAGGCAAGGGAGGAGACAAGAGTATAGATGCCGGTCTTGAATGAGCATGTTGTTGCATTATGTGTCAGTGAGTGCTTGAAAGCCTTTTTTTCGTTGCCTGATTTTAAATGTAATATAATCGCGTTGCTAACTGATTGCATTTTATACATCAAGGGATTGGTTGCAGCGAGGAACATGCCGCAGAGGTGGCTCATGCATGGTATGAGGAGAAGAAGTTAGATGAGCATAGATCGCGAGCTGGTCGTACCGTTCAATCACCAATTTTGTTGTCTAACGAGGGGGACAAGGATGAGGACGACACTGGCAGACTGAGTGAGCTCATTGCTCTAGCAGAGGCGAGCTTGCAAACGCAGGAGGCTGAGGACGATATTGACAGACTGAGCGAGCTCATCGCTCTAGCAGAGACGAGCTTACAGGCGAAGGAGGATGACGATGCGTTCTTCACTCAGGCCACAACGACCGTAGATGAAGTGGAGGCTGCTTACTACAGGCGACAGGCAGGTCAGAGCAACACAGGTAAGCCTAGCCACAGCAACAGGATTGTGGTAGAGGACTGATACTCAGATGATGAGTTGCTTACTCAGTATGTTTCAGACTGAGGATTTGAAAGTGCATTTGCCCCCTATGTCTACTGTCGGCATATACTTATAGTATTATTATGTTGTTTAATGTGGCATAGTATTAGACTTTTATTATGTGGTTGTTTTCATTATTTATGGTCTTAATATTCCGCTTAATATTACGGACGTATTAAAAATGCATTTATGCCTTTTTAGTAGTGTAGTATGAATAATGATTCACGGAAAAAAATCGTAAGAGTTTCCCGTGTTTTAGGAGCATCTACAGTACAAACAGAGACATCATTATATATTCTAAATATTTAATCATCCAAGGAGCAAATTGCAACCACAACGAACATCACAACCAACATAACATGTTCTGCACAGTCCAAATAGTCCACAATGTCCATACAGTCCGAAATAGTTACAGGAAAATAAATACAAAATCTATAATAGTGCATACTAACATCTACCACAACCCTCACTGCCTCCTACTCTTGCCCTTACCCTTGTGACCGAGAGCGCTCGTACCTAGAGTGTAAGGGTCATGCGGACGGCGTCGCCTAGTGCCTGAAGGCGGTGTAAGCTGAGTCAAGGGAGCGTCATAGAGCTGAGAGGGGCCAAGCTCCTCGTGCCTCTGGTCCACGTCATCGTCGTCGTCGTCGTTGTCGTCCTCGTCGTCCTCGTCCCCGTCCACTATAGCTGCTTGGCTCAAGGAACCCAAGCCACCTCTACCTGTGGAAGGAACATACACGTCTTGCGCCGTGTCTATCCTGCAACTACAACGAGCATCCGCATGGCGTAGCCGACGTGACAGCCTCTGTTGTACAAAATTATATTAACTGAAAGAATCTAACGTATTAATAATATGTTTGAAAGAATATTTTGAATCTTACGTCCAAGGAAGGCCTTGCTCGCCAAGCTCACGTCCAAGAAAGGCCTCCACTCATGCTCTCTAGCCTTTTGACCTACACTGCCCAGTGACTGGGTTGCCATGAATCCTCAGGCCTAGCATCTTCTGATAGTCTTGGAGCGTGATTGTCATCTCCCCAAAAGGTAGGTGAAAGCTGTGAGTCTCCAGCCACCACCTATGCTCGACCTGATAAGTTCATGTGGCGTGATCAAAGCATGTAACCTCATGTGTGCCAGCCCTTTCATTTCCCTTCTCTAGGTGTGCCTTCGGTTTTGGAGCCCATATCT